TCGAGAACTCAGCCCAGACTTCTGAGCATCGCGAGGTATCCGAGTCGTTGAAGTTCGAGTGTAGAATTCCAGGATGGCGTGGTATCAGAGTGCCATATATTTCAGTGACCTCTCTTGCGGTTTCCTCACCTTCTATCGGGAACCCTGTTAGAATAGTATGGGATGCCGATCATCGATTTAGATAACTGCATTAATGTGACGATGCTGTAGTTGAGAGTAGTGCAGATGCAATTTGTCATCGTTGCGAGAGATCCGGATACCGGTCTTAAGCCTGTTGGCTTTAACCTATCCTGTGTTCTGGCATAATAATAATTAAATTATCTCGAATAATAATAACTCATCATTGTGGCGTCATATGTCTACTACCACTTACTACTAGTTTTATTGCTCGAATTCCGATGTCTCCTACTGGGAAGGAAAAATTGGTTCCGAAGAGGCTACAGCAGCAACTGTATCATCCTAGCTCGTTGCCGGCCAGGATAGACCTCAGTAGGTTACTCGTGGTCGGTGTGGTTATGGTCAACTGCGTATGTTGGTGATAATATAGAAATTGTGGTAAAATTTGTTGGTTTCCGTACACTTCTTTCATGTGAAAATTGAGGAAACTCCCAAGCTCAGCTGAGGAAAGCGACTATATATTCCAAAACGGCTCGTGGTGGTTGCCGTCTCGATGGTAGTGCTATTGAAAGGTACACCCGATACACTCGCGCAGTTGCGGAGGGCATCACTTGATCCCAAAGTACCGAGTAACTGCTGTGATGCATCAACAACAGTTGATAAGAAGGAGGAGCCAAGAGAGCCCAACAGAGGAGGTTGGCGGTGATGGACTGTCGTGGTGTACTTCAGCATTGCTGAAAGCATTGTACCATCTTATTATAATCGCTATACGTATTTGAACAAGATGATAGTGCTAAGAGATCCTATATACAAAATTTCAGCTCCATTTGAGGTGTAGTTAGGAAGCGGACTCTTTAGATTGCGCGTACTGTATCGTATAGTAGAA